AAAATTTTCAGTTACTGATACACTAACGTGTTGTTTTAGAGTAATTTTATGAATATTGTTAGGTCATTAAAAATGTAGCAGTTAAGAGTTATAAACTACAGCTGAATTCAAATAGTTACTAAAGTCCACAGAAAATTATTTGCCTAACTTCATTGGTATTACTATATTTTAAAAAGTTTGTCAGTGACAGGCATGTATGTATCTAATGTTGGCACTATTGATTCTTCAATTTACAAAAGTAGAATAAAAACAATGTCAGAATTTTAAAATGAATATATACTTATTCAATATTTTGATAGTATATCTTTCTAATTTACTTTATAATACGTCCAATTCTGAAACATTATTTTTATTTTCTTTAGCGCTTTCATTGAACATCCATCTATCCATCTATCCATCCATCCATCCATCCATCCATCCATCCATTTATCCATTTACTATTACATTAAGTGATGAGACTAAGATATGGCTTAGCTCTGCTACTAACCAGCTGTCAGCTTTGTGGTCTCATTCATTAATTTACTTCCTTTGGTTTTTGCAAAATGCAATTTACTAGCTTTGGTTTTTGTAAATACAACATTACCTCCTTAAGAAATTCATAGCTTTTTTGAGAAAACTGACAGATACGTCAGTCCACCAGCATCACTTTTGGTGGTAGCGTTAACTTTTTCTGTGGGAATAAGGAATTGCCTCACAGAGATGGTGAGAGATAGACATAAAATTGGGTAAAGGTTGCTGTAGGGGTTTTCAATTTCATGATTTCTTCTGGACCTCCGAATTAGGTGATAAGAATCTAGAGTAAATCGGTTTTGATTAATATTTATTCCCTATCGTTTCTCCAGCTAGATACTATTACGATCTTCCATTGGCCTCTAGCTCCCAGTCTAATAAATAAGGACATAGGAGAAACCTGATGACAGTGGTTTCACCAGATTAAGTTCTCTTTTCCTCCCATCACTGAAAGCTCTCATGAGGTTGAGCAAAGCTCAGAGTTTTTCTGCTCTTCTGAATGTGTGGCTTGCATCTGAATCATGACTTCAGAAGCTTATTATCATTTAAGAATAGCTTTCCCATCTCCAGCCTCCTTGTCTTGTTCAAGGGATGAAAAAGGAGAAAGAAGTCAATGGACTGGTTTCAGAAATACAACTTTTCTAAGCCCATTAGGTGTCCACTTAAGTTTAACTAGAAAACTGTGACACATAGCCAAGTATATTTGAATAGGGGACTTGGTAACACAGGCTTCAAAAAAATTGACCACATTGTTGCTCCAAACAAAAATACGTATTTGTTTTGTAGGGAGGAAGGAGGAAAAGGATACTGGGTAGGTAAATATCAGAACCCACAGGGAGGATGTACTGTGTAGAATGAAACTGCAATCCACTAAAAAAAAATAGCCTCCATTGATGTGTGCTGAGTACCTCAAGAGATTATGAACTTGCCAAGAAATTTTGGAAAATTCAAGGCTGAATTTTCTCATCTCTTTTTCATATGCCCCCAAGTGATTGTTACATGATATGGGGTGTTAGGATAATGGAGGTGTGTGTGCACAGGGGTATTATAACCATGGTGTCAATGTACCCTTTGAAACTAGGATGGAGACCCTAGATAACTTTGTTTCTGATTCTGAGAGGTCCCAAGCTATCAATGAACAAATAATTTGTGAGCCAGACTTGGCAATAAGGATGCAGTAGGACACCTTCTCCACTTTCTGACCCTCATGGATTTGGGCTGTGTGGGAAAAAAGAGCCTTCACCTGAGAAAGCTGCAAGTAAGACAGTGCCCTCTATGTATAGTCAGATTTTACTGGTCGGTAATTTGTAAACTTGCCAGCAAAAAAAAAAAAAAATGTTGTGGTAAGACAGAATAATCCAAAGATGTAGAAGGAGATAAAGTGGAGAGGTTTCAGGTATTAATCTACAGATGGGTTATTAAATCTGAATGGTGAAGAATATTAAGAACTCAGGAATAACAAATAGGTTTCTAGATTGAGAGACCAGATAGGTGGTAGTGTATTTATTTAAGATTGAGATTACAAGATACAGTAGAGGCTTTGGAAGAAACATAAGAGCTTTGGTGATTGGAGATTTTTGAAAGATTTAAACAGCTCCTAGTGAATATTTCATTAGACTTTTGGAAATACAGTTCTGAATCTTTAGAAACTATTAAGGAAAGGCCATCTATATTTCTATTATATGTCTATTAGTTTACTAGGGCTGCTGTAACAAATATCACAAAATTGTGGCATAAAACAATTGATCTCAAAGTCCTGAAGTACAGAAGTCCAAAATCAAACTGTCAGCAGGCAATAATCTTTCTGAAAACCCCAGGGGAGAATCCTTCTTTGATTCTTCCTAATACTGGTGCTTGTTAGCAATCCTTGGTTAGTAGACATATCACTTCAATCTTTGTCTCTTTCTCTTCCACAGCATTCTCCCATGTGTGTTTTGTCCAAATTTACCTCTTCCTATTAGGATACCAGTCCTTAAATTATGCCCCCAGATGGCCTCAGTATAATTTGATTACGTCTTCAAATGCCATATTTCCAAATAATCATCTTCATAGGTACAAGGAGTTAGGATTTCAACATATCTTCTTAGAAGACACAGTTCAACTCACCAAATACGTGTGGCAAAAGCAGCCTCAAAAACAGATGTGCTCACCTAGACAGAAATAAGAATAGGACAAGTTATGGCCTCTTGAAGATGTTTCATCATTGAAAGGAGAGGAAAGTAATAAAGGAGGAGACAAAAATATAATATGGTCAGAAAGATGAAAAAATAATCCAGAAAAGTTGTGTTTTAGAAACCAAAAGCAGCAAATGTATTACAAAGAAGGGAGTTGACAAAAATATTTAAAAAATCTTCAGTAACTTCAATTCTATAAGTACCAGAAATAGGCTACTGTATCTTGTTAAGGATGGAGCAGAATAAGGCTGGGAACAGAGAGACAGTTTAAGAGACTGAGAGACACTGCAGAGATCTAGAAAGATCATGACAGTTGCCTGAGCCAGAGTAGTGGCATTGGGAAAAGAAGACTGAGCAAATTATTGAAGTACAATCAAAAGAAACTAGTGCTGGATTTTATATAGAGGAGAAGAAGGAGTCAAAGGTGACTTCCAGGATTTTCTTTGGCAAACTGTAATACTGGGTTGACATTTATACAGAAAACACGGAAGGTCCATGAGAGATGATGATTTTAGTTTAGACAAGCTGATGCCATATCTGCGTCATTTTCTAGTTGAGGGGTATAGTGTGGTGATGAATGTGAGTGTTGAAGATTCAGACAGTCATTGGGTCTAAAAGTAGATATGGGAGTCATCTAAAAAGAAAGATGGTAATTGAAAGTATGAGGATGGGTGACATTATCCAGAGAGAGAATATACAGATTTATATGTAGATTTATCTAAAACATACCTGACGCACACCAAAGGACGGATGGAGGATGAGGCATCATCAAAGAGGGAGGGGAGAGGCAGCAAAAAAGGTCAAAGGAAAACCAGGAGAGTGCTGTGCCAAGACAAGAGATGTCTTCATATGGACAGGGCGGTGAACATTATAAAAGGCTGTGTAGGTGTCAAATAGAAGAAGGATTGAGATGAGTTTGAAAAATTAAAGATAAATAGAACATTTATGGGCATACGTGTGTGTGTGTGTGTGTGTGTGTGTGTGTGTGTATTGTCACTTTGATGCATTAAAAGCAGGTGGATGCAAGACTTAATAAAATTCTTGGCTGGAGAACAGTTTCAATTATTTGCCCATGATGGAAAGAATGGTACCTGAATATGAAAATGACTGAATTGAAAGTTAACTGGAATATATGAAATTGACTAAAGAATATATGGTGTTTAACATCCCATGGGGAAAATCTAGACAAGAGGGAAAATTCAAAGATAGAGGAGAGAGAATCGTGATTAAGTTTAGCTGAAATGGGTTAGTTGGCTTGATATGGGAAGATGGCCACCTTTTCCATTGCACCAGGAAATACGAGGGAGAAGAATGTTAAGTAGAGATAGATGATAACACCGTAATAAGCCTCCAAATTAGAGAACGGTGAAATTTAAAATAATTTGAAGTCATTTATTGCCTAAATTTCAAATGTTTTTATGCTGCTTATGAGGAGGAGCTTGATCCTGTCACCCTTTTGACTTTTTCTTTTTTATTTTGGACCTTTTGTGCTGCTAGTTTTGACCAGAGAAGCTCTCTTTTATGTGATCTGTCACCCCCGCCCCCCAGCCTTCATCAGAACACTTCCTGACAGCTGAATCATCTCACGGGGAAGGTACTTCATTTGCTTTTTCCCCAGGGAAAGGGGCCAGAGAGCTTTCGCTGGGCACCCCGGAGACTACAGATCACAATTCCTGCCAATGTGGCTGCAATCAAGGGTTTTAACATACAGTTCTTGCTTCATGATTTGTATACTCAAATCTTTTATTAACGATGATTTCTTTCGCTTTTTTTTGCAATCTAATGCAAATTAGATTGGACAAATATTTCCTATTGTTCCTACGATCTGCAATATAATTTCCTTTTACATATTTTGCAGATAGGTACTTTCTAGACTTTTTTTTTTTTTTGCTTTGCTATTTTGGTTTTTTCTATTACTATTATAAGTTATACTGTGATGAAGCCATGGGTGTTTTTTTCCTTTTCATCCACAGTACAGGTTTCAAATGGTTGTATGAAAAGCTTTGAATAACCATACTTAGAGAACATTAAATGATTTTATTTTGGTTGGCTCAATTATGATCTGAAGAGGGGGTTGTGGTAGTGGTTTCGATAAAACTTCACAACCAATGGGAATCTTTTTTGAGTTTGTGTGGAGTGCCCTTAATGCTGGAAATAATCCTGTTGGCTAGGACTCCAGAACTGTACAGATGAGAAAAGGATGCAGGAAATTCTGTTGTTTACACATGTGGCTGCAACTGAGACGCTGGAGAAGTCCAGCAAGCCCAGAGGGTAAGAGTGTTTAATAACCTTGTGGTTTTCTATTTAACTTCTATATTTTCCTGCTGGGGCAGAGCATGTGTTGGTCTCAGAGCAAAGACAGTTGCTTACAAGATGCAGAGCAAAACTACCGTACAGCTGGGAAGCAGAAGGATTTTGGAGTTTCTTTTTAAAGTGATTTCTTCCTTTCCCCTTTAATTTTTCCACTGTGGTGTTATTATCCTGACAATTTGTCATACATTTCCTGTATTTAAAAACTAACTGTATACTAAGCAAAACTCAGGTAAGAATTTCAACTCTACATTTAGACAGTAATAGAATATGTTGATATTAAAATCTGTTTTGCAGTTCCAGATGAATATGAATTAGTCATTGTGTTCGAAGTAATCTATATTCTTACAGTTAAAAAGTAAAATTGTTACGGAAACCCTCCTATCTATGCCTCACGTACTTTGAGTTCTTTTCATTTGTTGAGTCTTCATGCCAAATTCATCTCTTCATTAATGGAAAAATGTACTTCATACTTAGCATGAATACTGATTTCTTTATGTTACCTGCAGAGTGTGGAGGAGATAGGGACACAGAATATAGTAGTAAAATCCTGTGCATAATACAAAAATTGATGTTTATCTATATAGAAATAAATTATAAAACTGAAAAAAAAGTCTCTGGATGCCACTGAGAAGCATTTGCTTATGTTTTCTGCAAAGATAAATTAACAGTTAAATGTCAAGTGGATATATTTATTAACTATAAATATAAGAAAGATTCTTCAAAAAAATATAGAGATATGTCATAACATAGGCATCAAAATACATACAATATTTATTGATAATCTTATTTACATCAATACAAGTTTTTCTGTTTTCTAAAATAATGTGAATGTGTTTTTACTAACCATTTTTGTGAGAAAGGGTGTTATTACAACTTTTCAGTAAATATTCTCTTGTTAGTAAAATATGTTATTGTCAATAAGTATTTTTATATATCCAGTAAATATTTTTGAATTCTGTTTTATATTTTCACGAAAGCAATACATTAGAAATAAATATTTATAAGTTAGTGATACAATATTTGTGTAGGTTTTGTGTGACTTATTTGAATATATTCAGAAAAATGCTTTATGTAAATTGATTTATTTTCCAAAAACCTATATGTTCTTATGAAATCATAGATTATTTCATTGTCTCTCTTTTGCATCCTTCATACGTTGTCATTGGATTCAATAATTGCTTCATCACTGGGACATAGTTTCTGGGCCTTACTAGGGACGTGGCCTCAAAATAATTTATGAGTGTTCTATCTAATTATTAAAACCACAAAACAGCAGCTGTAATTCTTTAAATACGAAAAATGATTTCAGGTCATCATATCTCTTATGCTGATATTAGAAGACCAGTAGAATTCTGCCACAATGCCAAAATATGTCGAAATTTCCTTTATAGCAGACATATCAGTCCTAAAAAGATGCCAGAGGCTTTAAAGAGAAGTTCAACTTTTTGAGCTGAGTCTTGAAAAATTAGCAGAACTTGGATAGGTGGCGAAAGCAAGAATATTCTGCTTTGTACAAGTAATTGGAATAAAGGGTTTGAACACAAATTAGCATATAGCACAAAAGAATGGTGAGTAATTCATCTGATTGGAGCAGAAAAAAATACACCTTTGTGAGTAGCATACATTGTACTCAACACAGAGCAGGGAAAATTTATAGAGCATCTTAAGATTCATACAGAAAAATTTGGTGTTTATATATCGTACAATGGGGGCAATTGTAAGTTTCTGCAAAGAGATAGAGTATCTCTGCCTCTTTTCATCATGATTACCATCATCATCATCATCATTTTGCAACACATAATAGCATTTTCTGTGTGCAAAATGATATACATACTTATCTACAACTTTGACACATCTACAATTTGACACATTATTTTCATTTTGCACATGAAGGGACCTGATGTTTAGAAATGTTCAATGATTTGCTTAAAGCCACAGAAAAAGATAGTGAGGGAACCAAAATTTCAAATCATGTCTTTCTGGCTCCAGAGCTATTTTCCACTATGTTGTGCTGGTATTCTGGGAATGTGAATCTGGCAGAAATCAAGCAAAATGGTTTGAAATGGACATTGGGATTATAGGGTGCAGGGAGGAAGCAACAAGACAACAGTCCAAAGATCCATTTTAATAGTCTATAAATCCAAACGAATCACCATTCTACCAGTTGGGCCATGCTTTTCCCTTGGGAATTGAGAAAAGCGACTGAAACTGCAAATAAGGGAGAATTTTTACATTTAAATTAGCTGCTTTCATATTCAGCACGTAGGCTCTTCTCTCTCTTACATTTTCTTAAATGTACTCAGAGAAGATACCTTTTGCATTCTCAAAGAAAATTTTGTCACTGATTTGCATTTAATATTACTTATTCACAAACGAGATGTGTGAGGAAAGATACTGGGGATGCATTGATTTTCCCCTTTTTATTTTTGATATGTGATACCAATGAAAACTCAGCAACCAAATACTCTTAAAACTATGGAATGACCAAGATATTATCAAATAAAGGCACTGCATAAGTTTTATTTCAAAGGGCAAAATGCATATATAAAATTTATGTTGTAACAGATAGTGTAAAATACAGTATATTCACAGTAAAAAAGAATAGAACTTATTTATTAACATTTTTTTCTTCATATATCTATCTTAAGCACATTATTTTACTTCTTCTCAAAGAAGAACTAGTATCTGGAATAGCATTCATTTTCTTTTTTTTCAATGAAATAAAAAATATAGCTTATTTCATAAAAATGAGTTTTTTTAATTAATGTATATATGATGATATCATTTTATAAACATGCTCTCTACTATTTTAGAAGCATACTATTATTTAAGTAGGCTTTGCTGAAGGAGTATCTTTTTTCCATACACAAAAACAGATGAGTATTGTTGAAATGCAAAGATTTGGTCACTGACCTTGACATTTTACTTTTTACAGGTCTAGGCTGAATTCTAAGAACATATTCTATAGAAGGCATTTTCTATAACTAGTACTCCATCCTAGATTGAGTGTGAGCTTGAGACCTTGATTGTAAAAAGGAAAACTAGATGTTGTATTGAAGGTTGTGCTCAAGACCACTTAATTGTAGTCATAGCTTTGCAAAGAATTGTTAGCATTATTATATAGTTAAATATTATCTGAGGTGACTTATATTTAATGAAGTTTCCTAAAAGAATTGCTGTTATGTGTAGTAAAGATATAAAAATATTTGGTGTTATAATTTTGATGGAAGGATTTTTTGGGAGCTAAAGAAAGAGGTGTCCTTAGTATAGAGAAAAAACCATATACTCACTGCAGAATTTATATGTATCTTATCATAGTGTCTGTTTTAAATTTGTAGAACTAAAGCTTCCAAAAATAAATGTGGGATTTTTTTAGTCATTGACTTGAGAGCATATGTTTCTAAGCTGCAGTAAACATTTGGAAATATAACACAAGTAAAGAGGCAATAGTTCCATGAAGAAAAACCTGTAGCAACTTTAGATTCACTTTCATTTGGAAATCGTTTTGAGAGTGTTCAATACAGTCTTTACTTTTCTCCCTTAGTGAATTTAGGATTATGAAGGTATTAGGTAAAATGTTAAATTTAAGATGTCTGCAAAAGATAAAATAGTCTTATTATTCAGCCTATATTCATGAATCTTCTATCCTTTGTTGGCATAAAGGGTTTTGAACAAGGGTTTCTTCTCTGGATGAGAAGAAAATATATTTCACAATAAAGCATGAAAATTATAAGTGCTCAGTGGGATTATAACATTTGGTAGCACAGGAAAAAAGAGAAAGATGTGGAAGTGCCATAATTCATTGGTGTTTCATATAATTCTAGAAGGTTCTCTTTATAATCTCTTCCTAATTCAGAGCTAGAATAATCCCAGGGATTGTCTGAGGGTTCAGGTGAGCTTTGTTTTAACTTTGTTTTGAAATAACTTTACAGGTATAGTCAAGGGTAGGAAGGAGTTGGGTCAGAGCAATTGTTAAGAGTCCCTGCCTTCTTATTGTTCATATTGCCCAGGTTTCTTCATTCTTTTGGTAATAATCAAACTTAAGTTATAGAATATAAGGTTGCATGGATTAAAATCGTGGATGTTGCAATTATGTCGTGCTACAAATGGCCTCTAAAAGTGTTAATGCTACATGGATTTGCCTGCTGCTTTTTACATTTTTTGTGTGGAAGTAAATACAAAAAAATTTTGTATTATGATAATGCATGTTAATGGGAGAAATTCCAGTATTCATGGATTAGAACTAGGACGGCTATCTCAGATACAGATACAGAAAGCCAGGGCCTAAGTGTAGGTACTGACCGCAAAGCTCTGCTCCTGGACCTCACGTGATACATTCATTGTCTATGGTTGGCAGTCACTTTCTATGCTGTGGCTATAAGTTTCTTTCCTATTATTGAGTAGGGTGTTTATCTGAATTAATATAAATGACACATTTGAGAAGCATAGATCTTTATCCAAAACAATATCAGAAGTAGAAACAGTGCAGAACAAAGTCCACATCCTATCTGCTGAGTCTTTTGAAACCCTTTGGTTCTCTTATCTTCTGAAAGGGATACATGTGCTTTTTTCTACTAAATATTCTATCTACTTACCACAGTTTCAGAAGTATTTCTGGAAAAATAAGTGTAAATCTTCATTTTTTATAGAAAGAGATAATCACCGTAAGCATATTTGTGCATTATTTAAGTACGTGGAAGAATAAAGTTGCTGATAGCAATTACAGTGGTGTGATTGGAGTTAACCTCACTTAGAACTGTTTCTTTAGTAATTGTAAAACAATAAGCTTTTAATCTTCAAAAGAACCTTCTTTAGAGGAGACTACCTTAATTAGTGGAACTTGTCCTGCTTGTCTTTTGGGAGAAAAGGAATAGTTCTAAGTCACTCTATTTTAGATTTATCCATTTAGTAATAAATGTCCATCATTTCTCAGACACTGTTCTAGCAATGGAAATAGGTGAATAAAAGTAAAATCCCCTTCTTTTCATCAAGCATATAAGCAGTAGAATCCATATATTCTATATAAATATATATTAAGTCATAATAAGTACTATGAAGAAAGAAAATAAAATTCAGGCTAAAAGAGAACAGAATATGCATGCACTTTTGATATGACTAGG